CACTTGTAAAGGGCTTCACGAATTTGACAAATAATTGGGAAAATGTTACCTGATTTAAAAGGGAATTTACATAATGACTGCAGAGCACTTTTACAATCAGAAAATATTATTGTTTTATGTAATTTTATTAAGAGAATGTATTCAACTGCCTTAAGAAGACCTACGCATTCACCAGTGAAAACGGATGTTTCCGGAGGAAGCATTGTTTTTTGAATAATATTGTATTGAGAATGAAGAACACCCACTCCTACGGCCGAGTTATATAGTTTAGAGGCATCAGTGAAAATATGGTTGTAGGAATGCCAATTCATATCTAAGTTAAAGTTAAAGGAAGCGTTAGCAAAACGTCTGTTAACTTCACTAAAATCAAAACAGACGTCAGGGGGCAAAATAAGGCATTCATAATTACTACCGTATAGTGGGTGAGTGTCAAAACTATGAGTTGAAGCTTGTAATGTAAGATACTTTCTAAAACTATTTATAAGGCAAGGAGTACTTTTGTGAGACCAATAACCGGGGGTATTTATTAGATTGTTTAATAGCTCAAGTTTTTGCAGCAAAGGGTGACGATTAAATTGGATAATGCGGAAAAAGAATTCATCAGCTAAAAACTGTCGACGAAGGGCAAGCGGAGGTTCAACGCACTCCACTTGCATCGCATTTATCGGACTTGATTTCATAGCGCCGGTTATTATTCTGAGGGCCTTCGACTGAATCTTATCTAGCTTTTTAAGATTAGACAAGACACATGGCTCCAGCATAAAAGTTCCATAGTCAATTATACTCCTAATCAGAGCATTATACAGCAGTTTTAAAGTACGAATGGCTGCCCCACCAGACCCCGCATAAACATCTAAGCATGTTAAGAACCTTTTCACATTTATTAACAACATTATCACAATGAGGAGATCCATTCATTTTACAATCAAAAAGAATACCAAGATATTTAACCTCTCCAACAACAGGGATTAGGTTATTATTAAAAGAAACATTTATTGCAGGATGAATTTTACGCCTTGAGAAAAACA